CCTCAAAATCCTATTCCTAATCCCAATCCCACTGATCCTAACTTGACTATTCAAAATTCGTGTTTTAATCATCCTGGGTCTAGAAATCACCGATATTGGTATTATCAATATTTCGATTCTTACAAAATCCGGGAAGAACGTATTCCTTCTCGTCAAGCTATGATAGCTATCGATTTTAAATATCTTCCCATTTTACAAGAATGGAAATTTGATAAACTATTTGATCTTGAACCCATCGTTTACCATCAACTTGTTCGTATATTCTACTCTAATGCTGTTTGTATTAAAAATCAAGATGAAACCGAAACCATAGGAATTCGTTCCTACCTCCTAGGACAATTCTTATATATTGACCCGGCATATATAGCCAATACATTTGGATTAGATAATGATGGTATTTCGAATGAAAAACAAATTTTAGGTTCTCGTTATAAAAGAAGAGATAGTGCGAGTATCTTAGACCTACATGAGCGTTTTCTTCATCTAATGATTTCTTGGTGGTTTTGACCATCCGGAGGTCGTTATTCTACTCTTAGAGCTTTGGATCTTTGGTGGTTACATTGTTTCGAAAACCGTATTAAAATTAACCTACCTCAGATTATTTTTGCTGAAATTGTTGAAACCGTAAATCTTGTTCCTAACAAGAAACTTTGTTCATCTCTAGTTTACGGTTGCTTTTTGAGTAATATGTTTTCCAAAGCTGGGCTTAGAGTCGGTCTAGATGCCGTTTTTCCTCTTAAGAAACAAATAAATCTTCTTTCCTTAACGAGAGCGGGATGGGTAAAGAACAAAGAAACCGGTGAATGGGTTCGATCTTCTACTCCGGGAGCTAGTTCTTCACAAGCTCCACCTGAAGCTGACGAAGATCCCGAGCTTGAGCAATTAATGCAAGATATCGATGAAGCCGAAGATGAGCCTGATCAGCCCGAAGAGCAGCCCGAGGAGCAAGCACAACAAACGCATCAAATGCCTCCATATTTGCAATCTTTTATGGAGACATTCGATTTCCGATACGCTACCATGGACTCGCGCTTTTCCTCTATAGAGTCTCATTTATCCACAATGGGAGCTCAACAATTAGAGATTCTTCGGGAGATGCGTGCAAACAATGAATCAACCAACGCTCGTATCAATGAACTAACTCATGAAATGGCTGCTATGCGAGCCCGTTTTCCTCCTACCGATCCGGATGCTTGATTTTATGTTTAGCTTTAAAACTTTGAACAAAATGAATATTGTTTCAACATTTTGAATTGTTTGATTTTGTGGATTGTTGGATTTTGGATTTATGAATGGTGTGAACTTATATGTTTGGTGTTTTATTCATTTTTGCATCATTTACATCATCATTAGCAACATGACCAATTTTGCCATATCACATTATTTATGAATATTGATTTATTAAACTAATGGCTAACCTCTCTTTTGATTGTGATCTTAGCAGCTTAAGCTTATAATTAATAAATCAATTGGCTAAATGATTTCAAAACCTTGTTTTACAATGTCTTTTTGATTTAACAAAAAGGGGGAGAAGAATAAGTTAAGTGTTAAATGTTTTACATGATAAATTGAAGAAGTGTTAAAGTAAGGGGGAGTAATTTCAAAACTCGATTTCAAAAATCTTAAAATTACTAAAATGTTTTGTTATATCAAAAAGGGGGAGATTGTTGAAACATTTTAATATTTCGATATAACAAATTAAGTTAAATTGATTTTAAGATTTTCCAAATGATTTTCTAAGTATATTCGATATAACTATTCGAATATCAAAACATTACTCCAAATATTTCAAAAATCATTTTTAATCCTTACTTAAGTGTAAAATTAAGTTTTAATCATAAAACAATTTTAAAATAATTTTACAAAGTATTTCGAACCAATTCAAAGCCAAAAATTACAGATTGCTCAGAGGGAACCGATTCCCCCCTGAATGGTTTGGCTCCGAGATTTCCAGAATGCTCGGAGGGAACCGATTCCCCCATAGGAGGAACCGATTCCCCCCTAAACATTTTTGTTCCGAGAATTCCAGTATGCTCGGAGGGAACTGATCCCCCCCCAGGGGGTACCGATTCCCCCCTATTCAACGGTCGAAATATTTGAATTTTACACTTAGGGAACCGATTCCCTATGATGGGGAACCGATTCCCCCCACGCTCCAAGCTGTTTTATTAAATGTTTTCACACTAAAACGGCTATAATATCTTCTCTAATCATCCCCAACGTTCAAAAGTGATCCAAGGTGTATTTAAGCAAGCTTAGAAGCCATTGATCAGGAACAAGAAACATCAAGCAACTAGAATCAAGAGAGAATCAAAGAGAAAGCATCAAACCTCAAGTTTGAGCATTTCAAGCCTATTTTCATTCAATATTCATTTTGCTTTCAAGAACACTTTTTGTGCTCAATTGTATTCATCTTTGAGTGTTCTTTTCTTTGTTCTAGAATTGTGCAAACATCTTACCTTGTGAGGTTTTCTTGTAAGTTTGCAAATTTGTAATCTTCTCTTTGAGAAAAGAGTGTTCTCAAGAGTTGGGGTATACTCTTGAGGGAATTGTAAGGTTATCTCTTTGGCCTCAAAAGAAAGAACAAATTAGTGAATTTGTTGGAAAATCCTTAGTGTGGATAGCTAAGGTAGTGGACGTAGACTTTGTTTGAGAAAGTCGAACCACTGTAAATCGCTGTGCAATTACTTTCAATTTTCTGCAAAAGCTTCCACAAATTTTTTATTGCCAATTCACCCCCCTCTTGGCCAATTTCGTCATTCGATTAACTCAACAGTAACCCGAACTAAAATTAAGCAGAATCGAAAGCAGTCTAAACAACTAAGGTTTACTTATGTTACATAATAAGAGGAATAAAAGTAAGATTTAAAACAATAACAAATAAAATTTACTTATGTTACTTATAATAAAAATATTAAATTTATAATAAAAATAATATAAAACAACTAAAACAAAGTAAATAATATTAGATTTATAATAAAAATAATAGAAAGTTTAGTTATGTTACAATTATTTTTTGATTAAGCTAAAGGTGATTACAAAGTAGTATATATTCTAAATACTCTTAACTATTTAACAATAAATGTTCAACCACCCTTACAGTCACTGGTACTTGAACTCATGACCCTTAAGAAAAACAATAGTTCCTTTAACCAGTGAAATAAGTTAGTTCGTGTGTTATGTTACAATTAAAACGTAACAAATAAAGACATAAAGTTATCTATTATTTTTTAAAATTTAATAAAAATATTAAATCTATAATTGAAAATAAAATTTTATTTCTTTATCTAATTGTTGTTATTATAAACTTTTCGTACAAGATCAATATAAAATTTTGGTAACATGCTCTAAAGCACATTATATGATTGTATTTATGTCACAATTTATCATCTCTAAATGATGGTTTTATTCAAAATATTGAACAATTAAGAATTAAAATTAAGTCTAATTGTCTAAATGATAAGATTAACGAACAAAAAGACATTTTTTTATAAGAAAATATTAGTAATTCTATATATACTCGATTAGACTCATTATCAATTCAACCTAAATTGACTTAATCCAAGTTTGACCCAACCCAAAAATCAATTGACCTGACATTGATCCGAACAAAAAAAAAACAACCGATCTGATAATCACTCGACCTGAAAATTGACCCGACCCGATTTACCATACACCCGAATTAAATCCGAACCAGATTCAAATCGACCCGAATAAAATTAAATCGAATATAATCTAAACCTAAAATAATCCGATCCAAAATGATCCGACCCAAACCCAATCCAAATGTTAGAAGTAATTTAATAAAATTTCTCACCTAATTTGATAGAATTTAATATATCATTAATAATCCTCCCTTCCTGACTTTGATGGATAAACCAACTAATGGGCTTATCAAATTTACAAGAAAATATTTTAAATTCGTTTTCAGTTGATTACTTGGTTTAGAAATTCCACTTGCTCCTTCTTTCCTCACTCGTTCAAAGATGGAAGATGAAAATTCAATATAATAAAAATGCTTTTTAATATTATTATAACCATCCAAGATTACCAAATGTTAGAAGTCATAGTTATCGCAAATTTTAGAACATAATTTGTTGATATAAGGTTAGAAAATGATTTATTTTTTATTGAATGTAATTTATTAGGTTGGATAAAATAATTTATATTAAAAATCGTCTTAAATCAACTTTAAATTAAACTGTCGCACAGCATATCTATTACTTAATATATGCTCAAAGATAATTTTTAATTATTTGACATTAAACGCTAATACCCTATGCATTCATGGTGTTTATTTGAATTCTCAAACATATCCTTTTTTACTGATAATTATATTTAATAATTTGATAATTGCTTTTATAAGATGATTCAACAATCTCAAAAAATGATTATTTTTAATAATTATAAGATGATTTAAAAAATTATTATGGGAAATTTTGATAATTGTTTAAGAATGCATTTCTTTTTACAGTTTAATCTTTTAATAATTTGTATTATTTCAAAATTTAAATAATGATTCAACAATCTCTTTATCGATGAAATCGTAAAAAACAACCATCGATCGTCGAAAACTATCATAATAATAAAAACGAGTCATTTTTGTTTTACTCTTTTTTCCTTTATTTTCTTAAGAATATATATATATATTTTTAGTTTTTATGAAATTGTACTTTTGGTCGAATGAAATTAGAGTTTTGAAAGTTGATGTTCGATCGGATAAAGTCAGGATAGATTTTTACCTCTAGTGTTCGAGGCGAGTTAAACTCCCTATAAACCGAGACGGGTCGGATGTTGGGTGAAAATTTGAAATTATCATATCGAGATCCGGAGAACAAAATTTCAAACCATGACCATCCTTATATCCAAAATAATGACGACGATTCCATTTTTCAAAACGTATAAATATTTCAAAATATTGTCAAACTAAAAATAATTTCGACAAACACGATTTAAATATATAAACGTGTCAAAATTTACTTAAAATGTGTTATCAAAATATGTAAATTTATAATATTTTGCATATGAAAAGTAATGCGTGTATATGTTTCTAAATATTATTTTATTGTTTCTTTAGTTCAGTGAAGTTGTAATTAAATAGCTTGCTTGTATTTGATTTTAAAGGTAATGGAATGGGCTCCGATTAAGTTATTCGTCACAATCTCATTAGTTTCTAACTGTTGGACAATAAAGAAATTTTAATATTCCTATGAACCAAGATTTATGTTTAAACATATAGATTTTAGGGTAAATTGTACAAATGGTCCCTCGAGTATAGAATATTACTTTATTGAATATCTCGACTATTAAAAGTTACAAAATGGTCATCCGACTATTCATTATGCTCAAAACTCGTCATTTTATGTTAAAAATTTGACATCAATATGAGTTTGACGTTAACCTACTAACTGAGATACGATAAAGTATGTTCTCATAATCTCAAACGACTATCATATCTCAGTCAACATGCTAACTTCCAGCTCAAATGATCGTTTATTTTTTAACGGAAAAAGACAAGTTTGAAACATAATGAATAGTCGAGTGATCATTTTTGTAATTTTTAATAGTTGGAGGACTCATCAAAATAACTCCTTATAGTTAGTAGACCTTTTTATAACTTTTAGTAATCAATGAACTCAACAAAACAATATCATTTAGTCGAGAGACCATTTGTATATTTTATACTAGATTTTATTATTAGTCTCATATAATTACAATGTAATATTCATTTGAAAGACCCTCAATCAATTGACAACGAATGTCGAAATATTTTTACAAACATTATCTTCGAACCTAAAAGCTTTAAAATTAATAATTAATCTTTTAATAATCGAGTTTAATTAATTCGTGTTTAAATATACATACTTAAATTTAAAGTATCCTAGAATTTGAGAACCGCCATCACTTTGGCAGACAATTACTCGGTCTTTCCAGCATCAAATGGCAAGCCAGACCCCTGATTTCATGGTAATCTTCGTCATCAGTTGTCTAGGTTTCATCACCCTTTGTAAACCAGTTTTCGGCTTCATCAAATGGGTGTGGGTCATGTTCCTCAGGCCACCAAAGAACCTCAGACATCACTACTGTTCATGGGCTGTAGTCACCGGCTGCACCGTTGGGATCGGGAAAGCCCTGGCGTTTCAATTGGCGTCCCGCAGTCTTAACCTTCTCTTGGTGGGCCGAAACCCTTTGAAACTCGAAGCCACCGCCAACGCCATACGTGAAAGATTCGGCGCACAAGTAGAGTCCAGAAACGTTGTCCTCGACTTAGCCAAAACCAGCGGCGAAGAGATATCGAAGACGATCGATGGAGGATGTTATTGAAGGGCTGGACATCGGCGTGCTTGTGAACAACGCCGGCTTGAGCTATGAAGGTCCGAGGTTTTTCCACGAGGTAGAGTCGGAGGTGGTGGAGAGTATTATAAAGGTGACTGTAGAGGCGGCGACTGGGATTACTAAAGCGGTGGTTCCGATTATGGAGAAGAAAAAGAAAGGGGTGCCTCCTGTTCTTACCCTTTATACACCATTTATGCTAGTTCGAAAGTGTAGGTTTCTCCTCCCTTCGACTATTTTTAGGGTTTTATTGTAAGGAGAAGAATTCAAAGGGAAGTTTGCAATTTTGTCACAGATGCCTTACAGTGTTTTCAAGAAGCATCAGCTTGGAATACAATAAAACTGGAATCGATATTCAATGTCAGGTTGGTATAAAAAAAATGCATAATTTTATCAAATAATTTTGCAAGTCTGCAACTGTTCTACATACACTTATTATATTTCTCTAATTCTAGTTTAATTTGCTGATAAGATTGTTTTTCTATATTTGGTTTTTGAGCGATTTCAGATTCCATCGTTTGTGGTCAGGAAAATGACGAAATTCAGGCGATCTTCGTTGTTCATCCCATCAGCTGAGACGTTTAGCGAAGCAAGCTTACGGTGGATTGGTTATAGGGAGCATCCGTGTGTACCTTATTGGCCACATTATTTTCAGTGTTTCCTGCTGAAATTACTGCATGATAGCTTCAAGAATCGTTGTGTTTTCCGTTACTTTACGGGGATTCGGAAAAGAAAGATGATGAGAGATTCTCGGAAGCTAAGACCAAACATCAACCAGAAGCTTACTGTAAACCCTAGATCCGACCGAGATATATCTCAAGATCGCATCGACGAAAGTTAAATATTATAAAAATAATGTCTCAAAAATCTAATATAAAATAAAAGAGAATGAAATATAATTAAATTCAAATATTAGTCATACCGTACGGAATGAAATATTGTTAATCAATCCTTTAAGTACCAGAATAATTTTAACAGTCAAGAAAATTGCAAGGAAGAAAATTAAGAGAGAGAGCTATAAAATTGAGTGTGTCCTTAAGTGCAGACCCATCAACCGGGAATAAAGCACAATATTCAATAAATACACAATAATAAATAATTTAGACGTGACATATATTCATACATATTAAATATGATACGAATGCAATGCAATCTAACTATGCCAACTACGTCATCAAATAATTATCACCAGTGATTGGACATTACCATTTGATTCGGATAACCAGTTTCGATTTCAAAACTAGTCGTTTTGAAACTCAAGGTCAATTTCAACACCCATAGAGTGTTCTGTTTTGATGGGTTTCAAAGTCCAATGTTTGGTTTTAAAACCCTAGAATGAAAACTCAAATTCTGAGTTTGGGAATGCTCCAAAATAGCTCTAAACTCGACTCAAAAACGCTCGAACATAATCTGGATATCAAATAGATATGTAGGACCTTAAAGCAAAGTTTTAAACATATCAACACATCATTTACCATTAAAAAGCTTCAGAGACATGCTAAGCACAAAAATAATATAGTACATATTTAAGTCACCTAAACATTCTTTACATACATCATGAAGTACACATAGAGGAGGGAGTGCTTTACCTCTTATCAGTAGTAATGAAGGTTCAAACTGATGGTCCATCACAATTTTCTTTTCATCTAACCTTAAAGGTCTCTTCAATCCCCTTAGAAGCTTGAACGAAGAAAATAAAAGTATCGAAATGACATCTTTTATGCTAGAATAATAGAACAAACCTTAAAATGCATAAAAATGAAAAAGGGTTTAAAATGTTCATTTTTCCCACAAACTTCCTCTAAACTAAGATTGGGCCCAACTATCATTTTTGGGAGTTTAATAGCTCATCTTGAAGCTCATGAAGAGAGGGTCTAACTTCTAAAAGTTACCACTTTGAACAAAAATAATGGAATAAAAGTTTTTAAGAGGAAAAATATGCAGAGATCAAGGATAGAGAATGAGCCAAAAAAGTGCTCAACCCTTGTCTCAAGAATCCCATGAAATTATAAAAGAGAAAATAACTTCAGTGGTCGAAAATGCCTTATAATATACGATTTTAACCAACTTTTTTTTTATTTGTGAAAATGACCAACAAATTCGCAACGCGAACTCCAATTTCGCAACTCAGTTTCCAAATTCGCAATGCGAATTTTCTTTTCGTAACTCGATTTTCGAATTCGCAACACGAATTTTAATTTCGCAACAGGTTTTAGTTTCGCAACACAAATGTTTTGGGTATATAACTATGCAGCAACAACAACTCATAACCTAAATCTCTAAATCGCAACTCATTCCATCTCCATCTATCACTCTTTCCGGCGACATCCGTTCCTATATCCAACGACATCCTTCCCCATCTCTAATTTTTTTTACATAATTTTATTTCTATATAATTTTTCAATGATTTCTCTCCCAAATTATCAACTATCAATTTAATAAAGGTATGTTTTTCTCTAAGTTAGTGATGATATGTAGTTTATAGCTCGTTTGTTTAGTAAATTAATTTACAATTTGTAGAATGAAATCATCTAATGTTGATTATGTTTGGATAGATTTGTGTTTTGGAGGGTCATGGGAGAATGTTCATGGTGTTTTACAATATATGCATTTACCCATGAATCTTCAACTAAAACTGTCATTAAAAAAGTTAACTTATGAAACTCTAATATTACGTGTTGCAAAGAAATTGAATTTAGAGCCTCTAAGTGGATTTAGGCTATCTTATCAGAGAAAAGGTAAAGTTTATTTGTTAACCGACAATGAAGATGTTGAACGATTCATTGCTTACATTAGTGTTTCACAAGAAGATGATGTTACATTGTATGTTGTTGAACCTAGAAGTAGTGAAGTTGGGTCAGTAGCGGGTAGTAATCAACTAAGTTCTTCAACCCCAGTTTATGGTGTTCACAATGTACAACGTTGTTATCAACCTCAAAATTTGATAGTTCCACCACAATTTCATCACCAAGAAAATTTTGTTTCACCACATTTCCAATACCAAACACAATATCAAATACAATCTCAAAACCCACAACCTTTTCCTAATCCAAATCCCAATCAACTTTCAGCACCAAATTCTGATTTTCGTACTGACCAGTTAAACGATTATGAGCCAACAGAAAAAATTGTGAGTACTAATCAGTATTCGAAATTTGATCTTGGTCAATACCCGGACTTTGATCTTGGTCAATACTCGGATTTTGATGATGTTTCAGAAGAAGAAACAGACCCTGCGTGTAATGATTTTGATATTGGTCAATACTCAAATTTTGATGATGAAACAGCCGCTGCCGAGGAAGATGTTGTTGATAATAATAAGAAGGAAGTTACGACTGTGAATGAAAATGTTGAACATCCATTCTATAATTTATATAACCCTAAAGAAGAAGAAAAAGAAGAAGAAGTCCCCGAAGAAAAGAAAAAGAAGAAAATACCACGGGAGTATAACTGGAATATGCCAAAATTACTTCAGATACCAGAAGAAGAGTTGGTAAAGATAGCAGTTGATTGTTACACAAAAGTTATTCGTATCAAGAAAGATTATTGTTTTGATACAAAGGAATACTTGAAGATAGCTTTGTATACGAAATGTGTGGAAGATGGTTATCAACTAAAAGTTAACAAATCAAGCAAATATCGTTTCGAAACAAAGTGTATGATTGACAAAAACTGTACGTGGCGTATGA